TTTTCCCCTTCCTTTTCCCCTTCCCCTGCCTTCCTTCCTTCCTTCCTCCCTTTCCTTCCCTCCCTCCCTTATTTCTTTCTCCCTTTCTTTCCCTTTCTTTCTTTCTTTCTTAATATTTTTATTGCTTTCAGAGAGGAAGAGAGAGGGAGGGAACATCGATGATGAGAATCATTGATCGGCTGCCTCCTGCACGCCCCCCACTGGAGATTGAGCCTGGAACCCGGGCACAGGCCCTGACCGGGAATCGAACCCTGACCTCCTGGCTCATAGGTTGATGCTCAGCCACTGAGCCATGCCGGCCGGGCAAGCTTGTGCCTCCTTACTCAAGGACAGAAAACCACTCAAACTGAAGTGACTTGTGGAAAACCAGGGGCTGGAGCCCCTCCCAGGGTTCAGATTTGGTGGGCTGGGTAGGCCTGAGGGCCCGCATTCCTAGCGAGTCCCAGCTGCTGATGGTCTGGGCTGCATCTTCTCAGGAAGTTCACGGGCTCATCCCCCTGGAGTCTTCCCCTCAAGTCCCACTGTGACTCACAACACAATCCATGTGACTGTCCTATCCTGGGCAAGCGACAGTCTGATTCATTTTAAAGATTCTGGTTCCTGGAGAAAGAAGGTTCTTGCACTGTCAAACAGAAGTGGTGCCTAGCCAGTGTGGTTCAGTGGTTGAGCATCAGCCTATGAGCCAGGAGGTCACGGTCTGATTCCCCGTCAGGGCACATGCCCCGGGTTGCTGGCTCGATCCCTGTGTGGGGTGTGCAGGAGGCAGATGATTAATGATTCTCTCTCATCATTGATGTTTCCATCTCTCTCTCTCTCCCTTCCTCCCTGAAATCAATAAAAATATATTTAAAAGGAACAAACAGAAGTGGCTTCTGACTCTATTGCATGATCAGCTTGAGGAGAACTCTTGAGTTCTCAAGTGAAACAAGATGTGTCAACCTTAGGAAGAAGCAATAGTTTAAGAAACTTTTCTAAACGAAACCCAAGTCCTGAAACCGTGCTATCTGGTTCTTTAACTGTTGCCTCCAACAGCTTTTACTACCATCATGGACGCATCAACTTCCCACAGTAAAAACCAAACCAACCCGCCCTATAGATTCTTTGCTTCTTTCCGCAAACAAACAATTACTTAGGACTGGATAGAATTATACTCATCAGAAAAATCAATATGAGAACAAAAATCAGCAATTGTTTCCAGACCATTTTTCCCTCTAGAGACACTCCCCAGGCTCTACAGTGTGTGTACGCACGTGTGTGTATGAGTGAGCGTCTGTGAGGACAACGTTTAACGCTTTGATCTAACATTTTCTAGAATCAATAAGCATGTCGGTTGGGTAGAGCGGTCAATATTTACTTCAGATGGAAAACAGTTATTCAAATGAGAAGACGTGGGCTCCCTTCTCCGGGGAAGGCCCCTCCACATCTTGGTCACAGTCCGTCCAGAACTATGTCTGAATTTGACGGGAGGATTTCAGAATCAACCCGTCCCTGAGAACACGTGGCCCTCACAGGGTGGGCCGAGGGCGCTGCTTTGCTGGGGAGGTGGAAACTGGCAACCTTCCAGCCCTTTCTTCCAGCTCGGACACTGAAAGTGAGGACGCTGATGTAACCCAGATCCCAGTGAAGGCCAGCTCAGTACCAGAAGATCGCATTATGCTGCTGCCCACCTGTGACACAGTCCAGATGGCGAAGGGCCCCGGCACATTAGAGAGGGCTCCAGCGTCTCCGGGCGGCAGGAGCTGATGTCATACCCTCTCGTGCGTGATAAGAAGCATGCATCTATAAAACTGGAGAAAATGGGGCTGTAATGCGTTTTCCCCGAAGGTCGAGCTTAGGATAGGGACATCTGGGTGGGGCCGGGAAGTCTGGTGGCGGCTGAGAGAGACTCTTAGCCGGGGCTGGTACACAGAGTTGGCGGTTATGCTCCAGGCAAAACCCCTCATATTCCAATTTGTAAAACTGCGAGGGCTTTGAAAGCCAGCCTGCATCTTAGGCGTCCTTCCTTCCCCAGCATCCCTGACAGAGCCGCTCGTCCCCACCCCACCCCTCCTCCCAGCTGGAGCTCAGCTCTCCAACCTGAGAGTCAGAAAGGAGAGATGGAAGTTTGCAGAAATGGGGTCTTTCCTGGGAAGGTTCTAGATGAGGCTACGAAGGGAAATGAAAGAATGAATGGAGATATGAAGGAAGAGGAAGAGGGCTCTAGAAGTGATCATGACCAATTAGATCAGGGGTTGGAAATGTTGTAAAGGCAGCCTGCCCAGATTCTAAACCAGAGGTGGGCAAGCTTTTTGACTCGAGGGCCACAATGCGTTCTTAAACTGGACCGGAGGGCCAGAACAAAAGCATGGATGGAGTGTTTGTGTGAACTAATATAAATTCACAGTAAACATCATTACATAAAAGGGTACGGTCTTTTTTTTTTTTTTAGTTTTATTCATTTCAAACGGGCTGGATCCGGCCCACGGGCCGTAGTTTGCCCACGGCTGGTCTAAACTCTTCTATATTTTTAGGAGGATGGGTAGGAGGGGGTCGTGATGCTGACTGGCGGGGTAGGGAGTGTGTCTGAATTTACAAAAGATATGGGGTAAGTGCATGCTGACTGCTGGCCTATCTGAGGGACGGGGTGTGTGTAGGGATGTGGGGGAGGCAGAGAATGCCGCCGGCCCTTACGCTCAACGTCAGCTTTTGCACGTGGTCTCCATTCAACAAGCATCTCCTAAGGTCCTACCTCTGCTGAGCCAACCCTCCCAGCTGCCCTGTCCAGGGGGCCTTTTCCTGTGATGCAAGAACGAGGTCACAGGGAGCAGAATGGCGTCCCTAAGTTCTCACAGGAAGCAGCAGCAGAGGCTGACTCAGCCCCAGCTCTGGTGAAGGTCGTGCACACGTCCCGTCTACTGACTTGCCTACCCAGTGGGGACCAGGCAAGAGGACGTAGAAGAACTTGAGATCAAGCCCAACCCATCGCAGCTAAACTGTGCACAGAACAGGCCCCCGCCCGACGTATTTATGGTGCTTTGGCAAGTTTTACGGAATTCCCTCGAGTCCCCTTTTCCTTGTGTTGCTGCGCTTTATGGAAACGTATTTCATCCCTTTAAGAAAGCACAGGCTATGATTAGGGATATTAAGGGACTTTTAAAACTTAAATTAATGGCCTGGTAAGCTGTAAAACAACTCAAACTTGTGTAAATTTGTATTCGGGGATTTTCAAAAATTGTAAGTTATGGGCGCGATGGGCTGTAACAAGACTTTTGAAAACTGTTCTGCTCCGTTATTCAAATCTTTACAGTGCAGCTTATGGACAGGTTGCCAAATATGACGGCCCCCCTGATGGGCGCATGGTAAACTCACAACATGCATTAGCCCTCGGTCAAGAGGGTGGCTGATCACCCAGCAGGCACAGGGCGGGACTCAGGGTGGCACTATGGCTGCATGATGGTTATCAACCTTCATCCTTTCTCATGTATCCATTGATCTGGCTTCCAATGGCCATAACGTCTTTGTGAAGTCTCAGCAGTTGCCTGGATGAACGGTTACCCCTGTGTTACATGCCGTTGCGTCGGCTCTGACTCCCGGCCACACACTGAATGAGGGGAACCCACAGTGCCCTGTCCTCAGCCCCTGCAGACCCAGCCCGTGGCTTTTTTAGGGAGTCAGCCCATCTCCTGTGTGCGCTTCCTCTTTTCCTTGTATTTTCCCCCAGAATTATTGTCTTTTCCTAAGAACCCTGCCTTCTCAGGGCACTCGCATTGCTCTGTTGGAGAGTAGGAGCCACCTGGCACTCACTGTCGCATTTACAGATTTGACGCCTGAGGCACAGAGTTCAAGTGATGTACCAAGTTCAACACTTCCATGTGCTGAACCAGCGTAGCAAGGCATTGCTGAGTCTGTAGCCATGAACTCTTGTAAGAACTGACAACCCCAAGATTGAAACCCCATTCAGCCATCTTGCCCATACAAGCCACTCACTGAATGGAGGTCATGGTAAGAGAATAGATGGCTCTAAGCCAGGGGTGGGCAAACTTTTTGACTTGAGGGCCACAATGGGTTCTTAAACTGGACAGGAGGGCCGGAACAAAAGCATGGATGGAGTGTTTGTGTGAACTAATATAAATCCAAAGTAAACATCATTACATAAAAGGGTACGGTCTTTTTTTTCAATAGTTTTATTCATTTCAAACGGGCCGTAGTTTGCCCACGGCTGCTCTAAGCCAACTGACTCCACTCTTTAAAACACACACACACACACACACACACACACACACACACCCCTCTCTCTCTCTATCTCTCTATCATCTGTCTTTGTCATTATAATGCTCCAGGACGCATTTGCATGGAACTCAATGCTATTTGGCCCTAGGGCCACGTCTCATCAATGCTCTTGGTTTGAACTTGGGGAATACAGAGGGCAGAGCGCCTGGTGAACACCCTCCTGGGCTGCACCAGCTCTGCCAGGTCTCTTTGGTGTCCACGTACCTGAAGAAACCCTTTCTACTTGTTACTCAAGAAGGTCAAAAGGATCGACATCCAAGGGGTGTACAGATTGCTCTCTCCCCATGGTTGGAATCCACATTTGAGCAGCCCAGCTAGCGAGTGGGCCAAAGCCATCCCTGCCCACCGAGTCCCACGCAGCCAGAATCTGGTTGGCCAGGGCTGCCGACAAAGACGGTCTGCCCGGTGGAAATCGGTGCCATGAGCTCAGAGTAGGTGTGGGTCACTCGGGTGGCAGAACAAACCGCGTGCTGTTAGCAGCGGAAGAGATGATCGGAAACAGCCTCTGGCTTCTCCGGCCGTTATCATGGCACAGAGGAAGGACTGAGGGCAGCCAACAGGGTGGGAATGACGGGAGGCAGGGGTGGGAGGCGTCAGCTATACCCGTCAGGACAAAGAGGGATGGAGAGAGGAGTCAGGGTGCCTCTTAGTTTCAGCGAGTGGAGGGCTGTTTTGAAGGAACTGGTCCGATCCATGCTGGGCCAATTTTCCTCCGTGCCCTCCAGACGCACGGTCTGCCCTTGGCCATCCTGCTGGCCCGGGGAGGCGGGCTTCCGGACCACATCTGGAGGGAGGAAGGCAAGTCTCTGGACACTTCTGTTTCTCTGGGTCGGAGACAGCTCCTCCTCTGAGCCTGAGACCTAGGGGATACGGGCAACCGGCGTTACTGGCCCTGGGCGGCTGTTCTAGTTTTCTGTACGCATCCTTCTGTGAACAATCCTTTTGTTACACTCTTCTCAAAATTCCCAATTTGAGGATGACAACCCTTTCCCTGTCAGGACCCTGAGATACCCCTGATACTCAGGTAGCATCCTTCTCTCAGCTTCCCTCAGCGTGCAGGCCATGGCTGCTGGGGGAGGGGAAAGGAGGGGAGAAGAGACTCTGCTTCTGATATTCCATCAGCAAAGGGAAGGATGCCCGGGAAGGAGTGGGAAGGGCCCAGCCGGTGTGGCTCAGTGGTTGAGCACTGACCTGTGAACCAGGAGGTCACGGCTTGAATCCTTTCCAGGGCACATGCCTGGGTTTCAGGCTCGATCCCCAGTGGGGGGCATGTAGGGGGCAGCTGATCAATGATTCTCTCTCATCACTGATGTTTCTATCTCTCTCACCCTCTCCCTCTCTGAAATCAATAAAAATATATTTTTTAAGTAAATACTGGGGGAGATGCTGGGGTTTTGGCCTGATGATATGACGTCCTTGGTAAATGTCTGAGTTCTCTGAAGCTGTTAGAGCCACTGTGTCCGAGCATCACCGACAGGACGGCTGGACAGCTCTGTCCCCACGTCACAGCTGAGGGACGCGGCCGAGGGAGCGAGAGCCTCCCCCAGCCACACGGTCACGGAGCAGACAGACCCTGCGGAGCCGCTCACAAACACAGGCTGGAATTAGTGAAAAGTGAGCTCCCTCTACTCACCCAGCTGCTATTTCCTCCCCTAGGAAATTTCAACCGTGGAGATGAACACGGCTTTTTCTTTGTTCCGAAGTTTCCAGAATGTCCCTCCTTTACGTGGTGGAAAATGGGGCGCTGTGGTCCCCGTGTGAATGGTGATAAAATGCAGCTCACAGAACCAGCTAACTGCTTTTTCCCTGGGCCGATGACCAGGTGGCTGTGCAGGGAATACTCAGAAACACAGAGAATGCTGTTCCCTCAGAAAGTCAAAGAAAGAAGCAGCGCAGGGCACGTTGAGAAGGGTCTTTTCTCTCTGCAGCAACAACTTCTTAGGATAAAAACCACAAATGCTAGTAGCACAACCAGAACCTCTTATTCCTCAGTCCATTCTCTATGTTCTTGGAGCCTGTGGAAGTCATTTCAGCCCAAAGCTCTGTGTCTATTTTGGTATTTCTAGCACCATGTCAGCAAGAGGCTCGGAAGGGTGAGTGGCTTTTGCTTGGCACGTGGGCACGGCCCTGGATGAAATCCCGTCTCCTAGGAAAGGCACCTCCGGCAGCTCCACGGCGCTTAGAGCCGAAGACGGCGCAGTAACCAGACTCCATGCCAACCTGTCGCAGGGAAACCAGGCTGAGAGCCGGCCAGAAGCGCCAGCTGAGAGCTGACCTCTCGCCTATGAAATCCCTGGGAATTACACTCGCCCTTCTCCATCGGAAAGTGGCAAGACCCTGGGCGTTCACTACCTGCCACGGTCCGCATGCCGAGGGCCACAGGCGTCCTCTAAACCTGCAGCCAGGAGAGAAGACTGACCCAGACTTAAAGGAGGAACGGGAGGGAGCCCTGTACCCGTCGGTGCGGGGAACAGCCGGGGAGGAAGTGCCCAAGAAACCGAGACCCGGGACTCCACGAGGGGAGGAGCTCAGAGCCGAGCCGTGTCCACTTGGCGGAGGACGAGCCGCGCTCACCGTCTGAGGCTGCGCAGCCCCTGCCTGGGGCTGGTGCCTGGTTCTGGCTGCGTGGACGGTCAGCACACACGGAGGACAGCCCTCTGCTCCCTGCATTCCTCCCCGGAGTCTGTCCGCTCTGGACACACAGCCTCTGAGACATACCGGCCCGCAGAGAAGTTCACGTGTGGAAACTGAATCAGTGAATCACGGGCCGGTTCCACCCGGAGGCAGGAGACCGGGCAGAGAAAGGCATCTGCCCAGAGTCCCACAGAGCTCGTGCTAGCCCTGGCTCCCGAGCCGCCTGCGCCCTGGCCTCCCTTGTGAGCCGGGAGTGCCCTTGAAGACCACCTTGAGCTTGGGCAATCAGAGCTTAATTCTGCTGCCCAATCGGGAGCCAGGGCCCCGGGGTCCCACTCCCGACTCTGCCACAGCCTCACTGTGCGTCCACCGCCAGGTCAGTGGCGCTCACCTGGGAACATCTGGCAAGGTCTGCAGACACTGTTTGTCACAATTGGGGGATTTTCTTGGCACCTAAAGGGTAGGAGCCAGGGTGCTGCTAAGCACCCTACAACGCACCAGGCACCCCCCATAGCATTTAGCTGGCCCCAGATGTCAACAGAGCCGCTATTGAGAAACCCTGATGCAGATTTCTGTTTTCTAATCTGTAAAATAACAGGTTTGGATTAAATCATTTAAAAAAAACAAAATTTTCGGAGACAAAATTCTGAAATGCAGATGAAGTATTTGGGCAAGTATATAATTTTATATCAAATTTAGATACAAATCACATCATAGATGAAGCTGAGAAGCAAAAATCAGTCCCGCCAACTACACAGAGCCGGTGAGGCTGCTCATGGGGGAGGAACCCGGAAACGCGTCCTTGAGGCTCGAGCGGCCCTCGTGCTATAAGCATGCGAGAAGCCGCGCTGTGTCAGCAGCCTCCCCGACCAGGCATCCGCTTCGAGGCCAGAGATTCAAGGTCTGAGTCCCAGGCTTCCCCGGGAAGAGTCTGGTGGGAAGTGACACCTACAAACCCACTTTGTCTAAATTATGTTACGAACAGCAGAAGGCGGAGGCAAGCGTGTGGAATGGGTTTCAGAGGCGCTGCCATCAAGGCCTCCCTCCCCTGGCCCTAGCGGAATTCGAGCCGTGGAGCCCATGTACCAGGCAGGAGGGCCGGGAGGGCCCGGGGAAGCCCGCCCGAGGCCCAGGCACACAGCGTGCAGGTCCCGAGGCCGCGAGGAGCTTTCTGACCCTGACGGTGGCAGTTAGATCAGGGCACCTTCCCCCATCGCAGAGGCTGAAGTCATAGGTCTCTTTGGAGGGCCTCAGAGTTAGCATTTGTCCCTAAAAAGTCACTAAATCCTCCCAAAGACACCTGACGGCAAATACGATCACTGGGAGTGGGGGGCTGGGGGAAACTAAGGTCACAAGAAAGAGAGAGAAGACCCCAGCGACGATGACAGGCGGGTGCCGACTGGGACGGAAAGCGATGCCCTGGTATCCCTGGGCCAGGCCCGAGGCCGCCCAGCTCAGGGCCAGGGGACGCCTGCCGGGCCCCCTCGCTGACAACTGTGCTGTGAGTCCCGGGGGTTCCTGCTTTCATTCTCTTAAATATCTCATTCTCTCATTTTCAGATTGGGGAAAAACGGGGCCAGCTGGACTCCCCAGAAATCAGGGCCTGAGAGCCGGCCCTGGAGGGTGATGGCATCCTGACTCCCACGGGGGCGCCGGCAGCCAGCAGGGATGGAGCCCGAGCTTTGACCCGTGTGTCCGGGCGGCTGTCAAGGGCATGCAAGTGGGGGCAGGGCGCGGTCCTGAGGAGACCAGCAGGAAGGCCCCCAGGATAAGGAAGTGACACAGCAAGAGGCAGGAGAGAGTTCAGGGCACAGACTCTCCCGCGGACCACCGGCTCATTTGCATAATTCAACAAAAGTCATTCCGGGAAAATGTCACACAAGAACAACATTGATTGGAAAGGTAGCCCCTGTCCCTGATGGGGCCGCTTGTGAAATTACTGAATTGACAGCGCTAATAACGCTACAGATTTTAAATCTTCATGTCCCACCATCCTCACCACCTGACAGCGTCTGACTGAACAGTCACGGAGGGGCAGGTAGAGAGTGCAGGCGCTACGGAGCCACGGCTCCGGCAACCGGCTCACCTGGGAGTCGGAGGCAGAAAGACCCAGAAAATGCCCCCAAGGGAAATGGTTTGTTTTGGGTTTGGTTTTTTTTTTTAAGTTAACACATTTTTTAAAATATTTTTTATTGATTTTAGAGAGGAAGGGAGAGAGGGAGAGAGGGAGAGAGGGAGAGGAACAACAAAGATGAGAATCATTGATCAGCTGCCTCCTGCACGCCCCACACTGGGGATTGAGCCCAAAACCTAGGCTTGCGCCCTGACCTGGAATCGAACTGTGACCTCCTGGTTCATAGGTCAACACTCAACCACTGAGCCGCACCAGCCAGGTAGAAATGGTTTTTTAAGAAGATATATTTACTATATTACACAACATTCACGACTATCCTATTCCAGAATATTCCATCCCCCAAAAGAAACCCCATACCTGTTAGTAGTGACTCCCAAGTCCCCTCCCCCAGTCCCTTGGCAACCACTAGTCCGCCTCCTGTCTCTATGGTTACGCCTGAGGATGGATGCTGAGAGGGAATGCCAATGGCTGCCTCAGCCACATGCCCACTGTCCTGGGAACAGGACGGCACAGAGGAGCCTGAGGTCTGGGCCACAGAAGGGTCCCCGTGTGGTCAGCGCCAGTATGGAAAGTTCATGCCTGAGAACAGCTCAGGGGGCAGCGTGTGTCCAGCCCCATCCAGGGCCACACCCTCCCACCAGCCACACCCCCAGCAGCCCCTCTGTCCCCAGGAAAGGCCAGCTGCTACCTGATGGGTCCCCAGGCCCCCATACCCTCCGTATCTGAAATACAACAACATCCTCCACCTCCTTCCGTCTCCAAAAGTGACTGCTGCTACGGCAGCCCCTGCTGAGTGTGACGGTAGATCTGGAACATTTTGGCCAGACGAGAGAGGTAGGTGAATCCTGCCTGCCCAGGGCGGAGCCCCTGCAGGAGTGGAGGGGGAGGGGCCGTCTGCGGAGCTGACACGCAGGCCCTTGGCCTGGCAGCCTTTCCGAATTGAGGTCACAGGAGCTGGGCCTCGTGTGCGTGCATCTGCCAGCTGTCATCCTCAGCCGGCAAGGCTGCTCCCAGGGCGTTGTTCTGGCGGAGCCTCCATGCCGAAGCCGCGGCAGGCTCATCCTGTGTCAGTCCGACGGTTTAGAGGGACGATGCCGGGGGATCTGTCGTGGGAACGGTTATCCCTTCGGTGGCAGGAACCTGGCGCAAGGCTGCCTCTTCCAAGCCCTGGTATCTATGGCACCAGGAAGTGATGTCCTGCGTCTCTCAAGGGCAGAGAGGGACGAATGTCCTCAGGGGTGGACCCAGAGGCTCACGGGAATCCGTACACACACTAGATGCCCAGGACCTACCACCGAAGACCCCAGGCCTCTGGGAGGCAGGAGGGGCCACAGCCCAGGAGCCACTGCGCACATAGAGCTCCTGCTTGCGTGTCGCATCGGGAGAAAGGCTTCCTTCACTCTGTGCCTTGGCGTGTGGAGGGAGCCTAACGGGAGGCGAGCGGAAGCTGATGGACTAGCACCTCCCAAGGAAGCCAGTGGGTACGGACCTGGGAAGAGGCTGCACTCGTGATCCCTGACCAGCTCCGTCTGTGAGGGAGCAGGAGGGCCGGGGGTCAGAGGCTCTCTCCAACTGGGAGCCTCGCTCGTCTGACCCTCCATCGCGGGCTGTGTCACAACTGGGAGCTCTCTCACAGACAACAATGTGTGGAAGCCACATGGTATCGTGATAGAGACGCAGGTGGGACTGGGGCGCAGGAGCCCCATTCAGCCCCAATACCATGAACCCCCACCCCTGGGCACATCACTCATAGCCAATGACACCACTCCTACAGGGCCAGGGATAAGTGCACGCGCCCCACACACTGGGCTCACGATATTCCACTAACGGAATCCATGAACGAAGATGCCTCTTTGTCACGGAGGGACTGCCCATTAGATGGCGAGGACGGTGTGACAGAAACAAAACACGACAGAATGCAATGCTGTTCTTTCATACAGTGAAAATGCGGGTTGAAAGGTGGGCAGTATTAGCATCCTAATGACACTTTTAAATTATTATGATGGGCACTTAAAAATATTAGACATAACTAATATCAGACATTAGGAAGGCCACAAATTACTTATAATGAGACTTGGTGACATCCGCAGAGTCATGTGAACATGATATAACGAGGGTGAGTAACGTGCCCTGATACCCAGTTTGCAGCTAGACCAGTGGGTCCCCATTCTGAGAGCACAAAGCCATTTCAGCTGGAGCTCTCACTGACCTCCGTGCCCTGAGGCGGTTGGCTGCTTGGCACAGGGGAGCCATGTGCCCACTCCATGCAGAGGCCTGCACTCCAGAAGCGAGTGCTGAGGGCTGCTGGGAGTCGGAACGAGGTGCCGAGGGGAACAGCATGTCAGAAACCTCCACACAGCCTTTCCTGTCACAAGCACACCAAGGCCGCCTCCACTCTGTGCCCACAACCCACTGGAGGCGGCCAATGCAGGGCCCAGGTGTGGGTTCATCCCAAGATCCAGAAACTCAGGGGAGGCGTCAAGGAAGAGCCGACCGGCCCCTGGGAGGCAGTATAGGAAACCCCTATGGATACGGAGAGAAAGACGCATGGACACTGCAGGGGAAATATGAATAGATTTGGTGATGGACTGACTGTGGAT